TATGAAAGGGAGTTGAGTGGCAACCGCAGACCTTTCCACTATTACTGCTATTACGTACTACAAGCCGGTTCATCATCCTTCATGACCATTTCAGCTAAACAAACACAAGCTCTGAATAATCATCACAGCCAAACGCCCAGTAGTAACTTGCCACAGGCACAATTACTAGCAGTAGCAGGGGGTTCATGAGCATTGGTAGATCTAGATGGTAACAGTGATGCTGATGCTGATTCATGCTTGGCGATGATGCTTTCCGGGGCACCATGGGAACGTACTCCGTCCTTGGTGCTTTGTTCATTCTTCATTGCCCGGTGCCCACAGGCCACATGCCCAAGCACTGGAACGTACGTACTACGAGTAGTACTACTCCTACTCGTAAGTAGTCACCGCAAGGACAGTACAGACAGTGTACACAACACACGCGATGCATCTGGATCCGTCATATCCGTGGAAAACTGAGGCGGCTGGCGGCTGCCGCTGCGGGAAAAGAGTTCAGTCCTCTCAGTGTAATTCAAGGTCGGTCCTGTTTGTTTTCTACCGGAGCCTCTAAAATTTTCTCACATGAATATTTAGACACATATATGGAGTATTAAATATAGATTAATTACGAAACTAATTACACAACTTGCGACTAATTTGCGAGACGAATCTTTTAAGCCTAATTAGTCCATGATTTGACAACTTTATGCTACAGTAAACATGTGCTAATGACAGATTATTTAGGCTTAAAAATCGTCTCGCAAATTAGTCTTCATCTATGTAATTGGTTTTATAATTAATCTATATTTAATGCTCTTTATTAATATCTAAACATTCGATGTGACATGAATTCAAACACCCTCTACCACCGGAATAAATAAAAAAAATGATCGGCGTCATGTCGTTTTGATAATCATGCATTGACAAAATGCTACATGTCTACGGCGTGGTTCAAATGTAAACGCATTGACAATCCTTCTAGATTAATTACTAGTACGGCCATCTCTTTATGTAATCGTGCATTGACTCTGTACTGTCAGTTTGTCACCAGGGATGGACACAAAACAAGGAGACTATGTATAGTAATATATTACTTACATTTGATAAGGGAATGTGGTAGCAGTACTCTCCACACTACACTTCATTCATATCTGAACATATATAATATGTGTACGATGATGGGTGGACAGCAGATTATTGGAGTTGCCGAGTCGGAGTGATTGCACAAGGAAACAGCAGATGTTCAGATTTTGGTTTCTTGCCTTGATAACAAAATCTGATGCCAACAGCTTGAGAAACTTCAATAGCCTGTTGGTTGACTGGTTCGTGAAGAAGTACTGCTGGTGGGTTTGTATGAGAGAAAAATACTGTTCCGGTTGGAAATTTACGATCGTTTACGACAAGCCACAACCAAACGAACAGGCTGTTGATGTGCACTTGGCAGCTGCTCCAACAAGTAGTCTCGTTTGCTGCTTATTATGTTTGCAATTTAGGCACGTTATGTGTGTGCTCTGCTCTGCTCGCCTGAAAAAGAAAACGGAACGATGCATGCATCCGGCATCCGGGACAGGGAGATGGACAGATGAAGGGCATCGTAGCTGGAAGTGGTGCGCGGACAGGGCGGGAGTGGGGACAGACAAGGAAAATGACAAGGTGAGATTCTCAGGCTCCTCGCTTTTGATGGCGTCCTGGTAGTACTACTACTAGTATTAAAAAAAGTGAAACGATAAGGTTGATTTCCCAAGGCCTCAAAGGTGAAATGAAACCCTGCAATACAGCGTCCTCAAAAAAGAAAGAAAGAAAGGAAGAAACCCAGCGTCAGCAGGGAATAATCTGACCATCGGAACCTTGTGATCATGCGTACGTGTGTGGTTTTTCTCAACTCGTCTTGCAGCACGTGCGGGAGACCTTTTCCGGATACTCAAGCAAAAATGGTTCCCTTGAAAGGTAAAAAACCTCTTCTCACGTCAACACGTAGCAAAACTGCTAATTACTCCATCATATCTTTTTCCTAGTCATTTACAATTTGGGTGCAATCTGATTGCAGCTCCATTAGTTTCTCTTCAAAGAACGAATATTCAAGCTGTTTGGTTAATGGTTTATGCGGCTGATAAACTGATGAAACTGATTTGTTATGAGAGAAAAACACTATACTATAGCTGATAAGTTCAAGCGATCAGAGAATGTTTATTTTCCAATAACCCCTTTTTTTCAATAACGGAACGGAGGCTCTAGCTTCAACCTCTTCAAAGAAGAGGCATCAGTCCACGCTTAATAATATAATGTAATTATACAAAAGCGTCTTACACACTCAAGAGTTTTATATTAAACATCAATTACGAATAACGACCCGTGTGAATCATAAGTTCTGTTTGGTCCTTAATACGCTGCAACCGTGCTAAGAACCGTAACCAATGTGTTGTCTTGAATAAGACACCCCAAAAAGATTTCAGGCTTCATTTGTAACGAACCGATTCATTCCTAGTGAACCATATTGACCAACAAATGACTAATGGTAGGTTTTGTTTTTTTCCACTTTATTTTGATAAATTATTGAATTAAATCTTCAAAATTGACCAAGGGACAAATACCTTAAACTTACAAGTGGCATGCCAGAAAAATTTATTAGCATGACACACAAAATAAATGATGAATAGATTCCAACTTGTAGCAAGTTTTCCTACCTTTCTATTCCTTTTAGCTAGATTATCTTTTGTTAATATGGCTTTTTTTTGGTAGATATCACATAAATCGATTTTATCTTTAAAGTTGTCTTCATGCGTAATCCAAATATCATTACTGATCCGATGTTTGTACATCCACTATTCTCGAATGATAAGCAATTTGAGCATCCACGTCGTTTTGGAAAAAAATATCAATTTGGGTTTGAGCATAACTTGAGTCCAAAACCACGCATTTTTTATCCAAGATCTAGCCCTTTACTTTAGCAAAGTTGTTGGCGCTATTTAGTTTCTACATGTGCTCCTAAAATTCATGTCACATCGAATATTTAGACACATATATGGAGTATTAAATATAGACTAATTACGAAACTAATTACACAATTTGCGACTAATTTGCGAGATGAATTTTTTAAGTCTAATTATTCCATGATTTGACAACGTGGTGCTACAGTAAATATATGCTAATGACAGATTACTTAGACTTAAAAATCATCTCGCAAATTAGCCTCCATCTATATAATTGATTTTATAATTAATCTATATTTAATACTCTTTATTAATATCTAAATATTCGATGGGACATGAATTTTAAAAATAAATAAAGAACCAACAACCCCCGACCCTGCAACTTCTGAGCAGTGCAACTGCAATCCACCACTATTGCCGAAAGGGCATATGCACAAGAATCCTTCTCGAGGGTATATACGTAGATCTCCACGCCCGCCCAGAGCGCAGCGTGCAGCGCACAAGAGGGAGGGAAAAGCCAAAGAAGCCACCGCTTCCCTTTCGCAGCTTCCACACCTCACCACCTGAGCTCGGCCGGTGGCGGGCTGGCTGCTTCCGTCCGTCCGTCCGCCGCTTTGCTTGCTTGCTCAGCCTCCGCCGCACCTCGCCTCCGTCCAGCCAGCCAGCACCAAGTCAAGCGATCCTGTCGCACCCCGACTCGATCTCCCCGGCCGTGCGGTTCTCGGTGAGGGCTGGTTTGGCGGCGGCCTCGAGTTGACTCGAGGTGTGAGCTCAGACACCTGCTGCGGCTCGGCGGCGCCGTTCTGGCAGCAGGGTTTCTTCCCTTCCCGTCAGGATTGAGTGGGTCACTGGGTAGGGTTCTTCCACCTGCAAAAAAGGCAGCAGCTTGGATTCTTGCTAGGGGCGCACGGTTGGTCAGCTCGGAGGAGAAGCTGACTGGTTGGGCGTCGAGATTTTGATTGAGGTGCCGGGGGTAGACTAGACAGGTTGCTTCTTGCACGCTGGTTTCTTGGCTCTGTGGCTACCGACCTTGCTGGTTTTCCTCCCGAATTAAGGGCTGAGCTCCATCCAGACCTTGCAAAGATTGGACCTTTGGGCACACTTGAGGTCTCTCTTCCTCTTGATTCCTTGCGTTACTGGCCTTCTCGCGCTGCGAGCCAAGGGAGGCCATCTCTTCCTGCTCGGTTCTGTCATGTAAACGGAAGATTGAGCTGATCTAGCTGGGGATCTTGAGGCTACAGAGTTTCTTGTTTGGGTGCACAGTGCATGGGCGGTGGGTGAATTGGTAGAGAGTAAAGATGGGGAATTGCATCGACACTACGGCGCGGGTGGATCACAGCATGAACAATGCTGCCTGTGAGTGCCCTGCTTCTCTCTCTAGAGTTATTTCTCTTTATATTTGTCCAATTTTGCCTTTTATAACCTGGACTGCTATGTCTTCTTCAATGATTTTTTTTTAGATCGGCATGCTTGTTCTGGTTCTATTACCTATTTTGGTCTAGAGTTTTTGTTCTTAGCAGTTAGTTAGCACCTTCCTTTCTACTTTTCTTCCTCTTTGTTACTTGTGTCGGATAAGACAGGGATATGGACATAGGATTTAAAGGCAACAGTCGAACTTTTGTACCTAAATAGAGTTACGGCACTTTCACAGGCATCATTTGCAAATCGGTACATTAGGCTTTATATTACTTTGATTTCATGTTAGCAAACGGAAGAGAGGTTATTATGGATCCGGTAGGAATTCTGTGACATATTTTTACTCCTTTGTATTGCAGTAGGTTCACAAATTTGGTAGAGCACCATATAGGGAAGTACTTCCACTTGTCATCAGCCTGGAACACGTTTACTCTCAAATTGATAGCCTAATGAGTTTACAATGCCAGATAACTTACTTAATTGTCAATATTTTGGTACCAGAATTCATGAGTATGACACCTTCATAATTGATATCAAGTTTTTCTCATTCGTATTTTTCCTTTGCTTCTTGTTGAGAGATCAGACCCATCAAAAGTGACCAGCAAGACAAGTTTGTCATCAGTCCCTTCCACAATTAAGAGCAACTTAACTCGTTCAACTTTGACTCTTCCATCAATGAGAGATCGAAGTGAGCTTCCTACTCCTCGGACAGAAGGTGAAATCTTGTCATCTTCTAATTTGAAGGCATTCACGTTCAATGATCTGAAAAATGCAACCAAGAACTTCCGACCGGACAGTCTTCTTGGGGAAGGAGGGTTTGGGCATGTCTACAAAGGTTGGATTGATGAACACACGCTTGCTCCTTCAAGACCAGGGAGTGGTATGGTAGTTGCTGTGAAGAAGCTTAAACCAGAAGGTTTTCAAGGACACAAGGAATGGCTGGTAAGTTAGGAGCTCTTCCACATTTTCCCTACTCCGAGAACATTTGTCATTGTTCATCAATCATGATTGTTCTTACTTTTTTGCTGCTGCAGACAGAGGTTGATTACCTTGGCCAACTTCACCACAAGAATCTTGTTAAGCTCATTGGTTATTGCGCAGATGGTGATAACCGGCTTCTGGTGTATGAATTTATGCCCAAGGGAAGTTTGGAGAACCATCTGTTTAGAAGTATGTGTTTCATCTCTATGGCTCTGCTTTGTGAAGTCCCAGTTATAACTTTCTTGGTCATTCCCTTTAACAATGCAATATTTCTACTGTTTAGGAGGTGCTGATCCTTTGTCATGGGCAATAAGGCTCAAAGTTGCTATTGGAGCCGCTAGGGGCTTGTCATTTTTACATGATGCTGAAAACCAAGTCATATATCGCGATTTCAAGGCATCAAATATTCTGCTCGATTCAGTAAGCTTAATTAGGAATTTATGACATCTAACTCTGATTGCCGACCATGTCTGTCTTGTTGAATGGTCCTTTATCTTGTGCTTTGTCCTTGTTTCAATGCAGGAATTCAACGCAAAACTTTCAGATTTTGGCTTGGCAAAAGCCGGTCCAACTGGGGATAAAACCCATGTGTCCACACAAGTCATGGGTACTCATGGATATGCAGCTCCAGAGTACATTGCAACAGGTTAGATATTTTTTTCCTCGCGTAATTATGAAATATTGGGGTAGTGTTGTGCATTATTCTGGTCTGTGGCTTCAGCTTCTAAAGGGTGATGTCAATAATAGGTCCTAGGACTGCAATAGCTAAAGACACAATTATTTTATTTTCTACCTAAAGCACCTTAGGTGATACTGGGGTATAACAAAGGGGTATTTGTTTAAGCTAAAAGAAATTATTGTGGGGTCCTGCCATCAAATAAGTGTATTTATATTTCTTTTTTATCTCAATTAAGTTGGAGCCAATTGCACTTGTTCAACTTTGTGCTTCAATTCCTTAAACGCTATGATACATCAGATTAGTCCTCATATAGTGAATGTTCCAGACTCCAGTCAACAAGATTAGTCCAGTCAACTTTGTTCGTAATAGTGGCAACATGTGGTATATTACTCTTGGATTTAGGTAATATACAGTGCTATTTCTGGATCTATTTAGTCTTATGTTGCTTGAATCTTTGCAGGCCGCCTCTCTGCAAAGGCAGATGTCTATAGCTTTGGGGTGGTGTTGCTTGAATTGCTCACTGGAAGAAGGGCCCTGGATAAATCAAAGCCAGGCTTTGAGCAGAACCTAGTTGACTGGGCCAGACCTCACTTGGGCGACAAGCGCAGACTATACCGTATCATGGACACAAAGCTGGGAGGACAGTATCCAAAAAAAGGCGCAAATGCCATTGCAAGCATTGCCTTGCAATGCATTTGCGGTGACGCCAAGCTGCGGCCTCCTATGTCGCAGGTGTTGGAAGAGCTGGAACAGCTACAAGATGCCAAATATGGTTCACCATCACCATTAGTCGACATACGGAAAGCTTCACACGCCGCCCCAAAATCACCAATGAGCACCACCCCAAAATCGCCAATGAGAGTTCAACCTTCACCACGGCGCTCGCTTGGAACAGCAGCAGCAGCAGCAGCATCCCCATTGGCAGGATATCGCACTGCGCAAGTGCACTAGAACTGGACTTAGAGGGGCCACGCCCCTGTAGGTTTGTATATTTGTGGGTTCAAGCAGTGAGCACTGAGCAGTGTTGTAACTTTTGCTTCTACTCATGTTTTGGAGATCGTGTATGACACGGGAATATGACCATGTCAACCTATGATAAGTTGTCTGGCCTGGTTCAATGGTTACTCATTGTTGGTCTGTGTCGTGACTCTTCTGAAATTCACTTACCTGGCATCTATATCTTGATCTCTTTGTTTGCTGCAAAGGAATTTCACAATTGAGTTGCACAGCTATCAATAGCAGAATAGATGAATGTTGCAACCATACATCCCATAATTTTTTATTCAAAATGACGTGAAAGTTGGTAGCAGGTAACGAGGTAACATGTGCATTTAGCGTTTCTATTTTCATTTCTCAACAATAAACTCCTGAATCTCTATCACAGTGTGACGGGCGCCGCCCTGTTTCCTCACCAAAACTTCATCACCGACTTTCAGCGAAGTCACAGGAATAGCGGTTCTTCCACCTGATCCTGCATGCATCAGACGATAGGTCACGAATAAGCTGATTGAGGGGCTGCTTGGAATGCAGGAATTTTTTCCTATTCCTGCGTTTTTCCTGTGAAATTGAACTGATTCCTGTGAAATTTCTATGTGATTCCTGTGAAATTCCTACGTTTCAAACAGGCCCTGAAAGGAGACTCAATGTTAACTTGGTAAGCTATGCAAGCATTGGAGTGATAGTGAGCATTTATGGTCCAACAATTTTGAATTTGAACATAATGGGTTTACCTGTGTCAGGGGTGATAAGTGCAACTGTTTCTGCATTTTGTAGAAAAATGCTATACGTGTCATCTCCAGAGTTATCCTGCAGGAAACCAATCGGGCCATCAAATGGACATGTATATGGATAGACACATAAAACTTGCAGCAAAGAACACCCTTTCTATGTACCTTTGCTTCTACAAGGATGAGAGGCCTCGATTCAATCTTCACACGACCCACAATTGCAGTACGCCATAGCCCATTTTGATCGACCACGATGACTTCCTTTCCTGACCCCAACTCTGAGAGGTAGCTTGTCTTGCCACCAGTAACGATGACATATTCATGTACAGGACCCTAAAAGTGGCGAATAAGAAACTCTTATAGGTCTAGGTCTGCTGCGATACACTAAATACATACGGCCATCCATTTTGTTTTGAACTTACTGCATTCACTCTGAAAGGCCTGCTTGCAATGTAGTTAGTCTCCAAGCATTCAGAATGAACAAGAAACATTCCTCTTGCATAGGATCCAACCTAAAAATAGGATGTCATAAGACTTTAGAGGCAGAATTGTATGCTTGTGTTGATAATAGTAACAAAGAAAATGCCATGTGTTGATACAGAGGTAGTAATGCAGAGAGGTAAATCCATGAGGGTGCATTGAACCGGTCCAACGTGGTGAGATATTTTAATAATTTTATAACATTTTTTCTATGCGTAGCATCAGTGAAGAGGTGAGAGAGATACACAAACCAGAAGGCCTTCGCCAGGTCGCATGATACTGCAAAGATACACACAAACACGATCACCCATACCAACAACCTCAACCTTTGATACAGTAGCCTTTGTCAATGGTAATTGACTCTTTGCCTCGTTCCTTCTGTCAAAATAATCCTGAGTCATTAAAAGGGGAAGGAAAACAAATGTCTGGTGAATTGTACAATTAGATAAACAATAAGCAGTAGGGAGAAGTAGGTTCATGTACACTTACATATAAACTAGGTAGCGTGCCCGTGCGTTGCTACGGAACAACTAAATCTTTTATACTAAAAATGCATGGATCGCACAATAAGATAGCAATACTGTTAAATTAAATACCGACGTCAAAGTGACATTTAATTCAAAAAGCAAAGTTCATGAAATTAACACAGTCACGGAGAGCACGACGTCGCAGGATCACAAACTCTACTGTATAGACTTTTTGTGATACGGCTAAGATAATATTTTATATCGGTAAAAAGAATTCTAAGATATCCATTTCTTTCGTGCGCCAATAAATCCATGAATAAGTTCCGCTGCATCTCCATATAATCATATACACACAAGTTCGAGTATATATGCAAATAGGTTCGTGCCCGTGCGTTGATACGGGACAGCTAAACTTTTATACTAAAAACACACGGATCGCACGATAAAATAACAATACTGTAAAAGTATATGACCGACGTTAAAGTGACATTTAATCCAAAAAGTTAAGTTCGTGAAATTTACACAGTCATATAGAACGTGGCGTCGCAAGCTCACAAACTCTACTGTGTATATCTTTTCGTGATGCAGCTAAGATTAATTTTTATACCGGCAGTCCAAAAAAAAAATAGCGCGCTATTTTGCCGCTATAGCGCGCTAATAGCGTCCCAGATAGCTCGCCGCGACGATATCTTGCATTTTCACGCTATACTCGCTATTGCCGCTATAGCGCGCTATAGCGCCGCTATTGCCGCTATAGCGCCATAGCGCGCTAAATCGCCGCTATTGCTGTTTCATGTGCTGACAAAAAAAACGAGGCAGAGTCAGATTTAGGTCCATCTTGAGCCCTCTAACCCTAATCCAGAGTACCCTTCGTTATTGTTGTTTCATGTTAGCTACTGAATATTTGAACCTTATGGATGTTTAGACTGTATGGAAGTATGAAACTATGAATATGTTGCCTGTTTGGACTGTTTATTATTTTTTTGCCTGGTTGTATATAAATAGCGTGCTATAGCGGCGCTATAGCGACGATATAGCGTGAGCTGCTATCTCACGCTGCGGTGCTATAGCGGTGCTATAGCGCGGCTATGCGCTATAGCGACGCTATAGCGGCGCATAGCTCCCAGGAGTGGCCGCCGCTAAATTATATAGCGCGCGGTTTTTTTCATGGCCGGTAGTAAGAGATTTCGATATCCATTTCTTTCGTGCGTCAATAAATTCACGAATAAGTTCCACCACATCTTCATACCATCCCGTACACGGCTCTGGCAAGCAAATTAGCCACAACTTATGTAATTAGTTTTATAATTAGCTTATGTTTAGTCCTCCTAATTGATATCTAAAAATTCAATGTGACAGGAACTAAAGTTTAGTCCTGGGATCCAAACACCCCCTGACACTCAACTCCTGCTGGATGCTCACTTGCACCACCATGCCTATGTGTCTACACGTATATACTCTAATACCAGAACGTCTAAGATGGTTTTTATTGTCCACCCTTTGAAAATATCATAACTTTAAGGTTGTCATTTGTGTATGCTGTAGGATTGGGATGCTTTGCACTGATCCATGAGGGTGTCCATGAGAGTCGAAATTTTTTATGCTATTATGATGTCTAAGCTTACCAATCAGACAGAGACGAACTTGATTGTTAAAATATTTTCAACACTGCTTTCATATACTCACTCTGTCCCAAAATAGAATTCATTCTCGCTTCTCGAGAAGTTAACTTTTTTTTTAACTTCGACCAATTATATATAAAAGAATATTAATATTTATAATACATAATTAGTATCATTACATAGAACATTGAATATATTTTTATAATAAACTTATTTGGAGATATAAATGTTGCACGTATTTTTTACAAACCTAGTCAAAGTTGAGAAAGTTTGACATGCACGCATCCCATAACGACTTATATTTTGGGGCAGAGGAAGTATATGCTAATGGGAGTAGTCAACTGGAAGTCATGATGAACACAACAATACTTTCATATTATATACTAATGGGAGCACCAAGAAACGTAGGGGAATTGACCTATATACTAATGGTGGAAATATTCATTTAGGAAATTACAGAAGGTTCACCAGTCTCACCATGTATAACCTGCACATCTTTTATTTGGCACCACTGATGTTCTCAAGGAGCAGCCACTTTTTAATTTTAGGTCTGCATGCTGGAAACACTAAAATTAAGAGCCAAAATCATTGAGTCGTCTTGCTTGATCTTTGCCAATTGTCTTGCTTGAGCTTTGCGAACAAATTATATCATTGGCAAAGACTAACACATAAAGAGGTAGAAGTTATAAGATTAAAGCTAGGTGGCCTACTATGCACCCAGCCTAAATTTAATACGCTCCAAATTATGGATAATACCATGGCCCCGTTCGCTGGTCTGAACTTTGGTGAAACTAGCTGAAAAACACTGTTCCGGCTGAATTGTTGTGAGAGAAAAACACTATTCCAGCTAAAAAAATAAGCCGAACAAGCTAAACTTTAAGACAAGCGAACGGAGACCATATGAACTGTTGTAACCGACATGTTAACTCCATCATGTAGTACACCTAAATATTGAACATGCACATGCATAGTTTTTTTTTATCATAGATTATATTTTTGTCCTATGAGACAACATAATTTTTTTTCTAAGTGACACCAGAGAGCCTCAAAATATTAGACAGAAACTCTTATTTTACTATCTCTACATCTGCTAAAAATTTAACTGAAGTTTAGTTAATCCATGAAATAATTTGGATTGTGCCTTTTGTACTGCCCCAACAATTCTTTTATCAAGCATATACAAAATCTAGTTAACAACATTCGATCCACAATCAAAATTCATTACCTTGGTATCCGAGGATCATAATACAGAAGGTTTGTCGAGTGCCTGAGATTTGATACTCGGCAAACGCACCGTGACCGTTTTCACTCCGTCACGTTACTTTTTTTCGCCGAGTGTCGGTTTCAGCTCTCGACAAAGTCTTTGCCGAGTGCCCGATAAAAAACTACTCGGCAAAGAGCCGTTTGTCGGCACTATAGATACCATGTGCTGTTTATCGAGTGTTATACTCGGTAAATCATTTGCTGAGTGTTTTTTGGGCTTTGCCGAGTGCCTATGGCACACGGCAAAGCGACTGTTTCCGGTAGTGGTAGTGACATGTAGCACAACTGGTAACCTGGCACGTCGACGATAATTGTGCAGGAAAAGTAAATTTGGCTTTCTACATGCTATTGAGATATATCTTTGGCTTAACTACAGTTGCTTTAGCTTTCTC